GCAAAAAAAAAAAAAAAAAAAAAAGTAATTCAAAGCTCTATCCTCTCTTTAAAATGGTGTGATAGGGTTGAGGATTTAGCTCAGCAGTTCAGTAGCTTGCCTTACAAGTGTAAGGACCCGAGTTCAATCCCCGGTACCAAAAAAAAAAAAGGTGTGATAAATTATCTTGTGAAGAGTTAATATATCTCCTTTGTTAAGTTCTGGGCGAGGGCTGGGGTTGTTGTATACTGGAAGGGTGAGTATGAAATACAGCAGGCCCATACAACAAGACCCACAATGCAAAAACAATTTAATAATGTTCTATAGTCTTTAAAATGAGCTATTACCATTGGTCTTCGTATAGGGCCATGTAAGAAAAGGTGGGCTGACTATGTGGTGCGGGGAGGCTGATGTTCGTTGAGAAGCTGGGGGTGGGGGGCTGGCCCAGGATTCTCACTGTAGCAAGTCACATGACCCTGTAGGTTGAAAAGAGCTTGTCTGCTTGAGGACTCCGATGGAGAGGTGAAGTGACCTCAGAGACTCCAGATGCCAAAGGGAGGATGGGAAAGAAAGAAGTTGCTAAAAACCCAGCAAGAGGTGGCCCAGGAGACACTTGCAGTGTCCAGACCAGAATGGAATTGGGACACTGATGGAAGTAGAAGCTTTGGGTTGGTCTTAGTACTCTGTAGCAGGATGGTGAGGGCAGGTTGGGAGTGTCCTGGGAGAAAGGGCAGAGACAGCTTAGAACTGAAGTTCTGAATCCAGGATATTAAGATCACATGGGAGATTTTGTGACCAGCTCCTGCCCTATCTCCAGAGGGATACAAGATAGTTTCCAGGGGCAGGCAGCTACTGCACGGTTTCAGAGGTGAGGGTAAAGGCAAGGGGCAGAGGCAGAAAACACCGGGCCTAACCTTAGTCAGCAGAGAGAAAGCGGCTCTGTGCCAGGATTTTTCAGAACCCTGGGTAACTGATAAGTCCTGTACTGGCCTTGTCCTGGACTTTCAGCAACTGGAATGGGAAAGGTCAGATCTTGTGCTTAATGTCAACACAGTCATTTAGTGGCATTGTGACCTTGGACAAATTCCTTCACCTCTCTGAGTCTCAGTTGCTTCTACTTTAAGACTACAGAGTTAGGCTTAATGGTTGCTGGGGCATTTCTAGTTCTGAAAGTGTGGGTCTGTGATTCTAAAGAGTAATAGAGTTTCTTTACTTTGAGCTGGTTTAGTACCTTCTTCCTCCATTACATTTGGAAGACAGAGCCTTTTTGTTACCCGTCTGTTTACGGACAGTTGGAGCCTTGCTGACAGGCAAGTTATAGTGGCAGACACCTGTAGTCTCAGTTGCTCAGAAGGCTGAGAGAGGAGGACAAGTTTGAGACCTGCCTGGGTAATACAGAGAAACCCTATCTCAAAAGGTAAAAGTAGGGCTTAGTGGTAGATTCCTTGCCTGGTATGCTTGAGGCCCTGAGTTCAATCTCCAGTATCACCAAAAAACAAAACATAACAATACAAACAAATAAAATAATCTTCCCGATGGGGCTTCTACTGTAGAACCTGTCCTGATCCCTTAATAATGCCAATGCAGAACACTTTATGAGAATACAATTAAAAATTAAGGCCTGGCAAATATATACTATTACAAGGAAAAAAAAAAAAAAAGATCTGAGGTTGTAGCTCAGTGGAGGAGTGCTTGCTTAGCATGCCCAAGGCTCTGGGTTGGATCCCCTAACTGGAAGAAATATATTTCACTTATTTATTTATTTATTTATTTCTAGTACCAGGGATCCAACTCAGGACCTTGTGTTTTTGAGGCATGCATGGCATCACTGACCTAAATCCCTGGCTCTGGAAAAAAAATATTTTAAAGTAGGGGTTCCCTGACCCAAAAGTTTGAGAGTCAGTAGGTTAAACAGTTAATAGTTTCTCCTTCCTCTCTTCTTCATTCCCTGTCTCCCTCCCTCCTTCCTTTTTTCCCCCTTTTCCCTTCCTTCCTTCTTTTTCTAAAACAGACTTCTCAGAACCTTTGACATACCAGTATGCATTATGAACCTACTAACAGGGAATATGTGATGTTCCCCAAACTAATTTCCTAGGGCATCTCACCAAATTAGTGCTTCACTGAATACCCCTAGAAAGAAGTTTCGCTATCCTGGCATCTATCTCTTTAAAAACGACTATAGCAGTTCAAAATTAGATGGCTTCTTCTTGTCCCCTTCCCTCCAATTCTTGATCTTCCAGGTGGGTAGGAATGCTACTTTTTTACTCTGAATCCCCAAAGGTAGCCATTATTTTTTCACAGTCTTCCTAAGGCAGCCACGCAGGCAACATTAGTGATCATCCCCATTGAATTGATACCCTCGCCTGGACAGAGGTAGAGCATGGATGGGCCACACTGAGCACAGTCTCGTGGTGACCGCGTGTGAAGGTCAGTGTGGCTGGTTGATGGATATTAGCTATTGATGCTCTAGGCTGGGCTGGGAGGAGGAGGTGAACTTGCAGACAAGGGATTTGGCTGTCTTTGGGTGGGAAAGACTGGATAGCACTGACTTGGACCTCAGCTTTTATACCCGTGTTCCATGCCCACCTTCTGCCCTGCCTGCCCTTTGCCACTCTGCTTTTTCCCTCCTCCCTCCTTTGGGTTCCTTGTGTCTCCCCCGAGTTCCTCTAAGCAGACAAGCTGTCCTTCCTCCCCCTCCCAATCTCCACTTGTCTTCTTATCCCCTCTGCCCCCCAGCCTGGCAGCCTGCCCTGTAGGAATGTTAATTAGCATTCACGATTTAATTAATTCAGTAGCTAATTAATGATTGGGGACTGGGGGTGGGGAGCTGGGGTACAGGGAGGGTTGGGGGCTGGAGGTCGCAGGGAGAAATAGCAGAGCCTGCAGAAGGCATCGCAGATGGCTGTGCGGTGGCTGGCACGGTGCCCACCACCATGGATGCAAACACACTTGCGTGCGCACACACATACACACAAAAAAACCCAGAAAGGATGATTGAGGAATAAAATCAAAAGCAGGGAGAAGGGCGCAGGGGCCCTGGGAACTGGGCTGGGGGTGGGGAAGGCTCTAGATCCATTTGAATCTGCTCCGGAAGTGGAAGAGCAGAAAAAAAAGAAACCACGGGTGCAGAGAGAAGAGAGCTCTCCGGAGACCCCACCCCACCCCC